GATCAATTATGGTTCTTTCTCATCGATGTTTCTCTCTATCCTTTCCCCTTCCCTCTCTAAAAAATCAGTAAAATCCTATTTTTAAACAATCTAGGGCCTCCACCCTAAAGACTATCACTTCTGAAATGCAAAGATATCTTCCAAATGGTGATCAAGACTGGTAGCAACAAGGTATTGTTGTTGTTGATTATTTTAGAGAAAGGAAGGGAGAGAGAGAGAGAAGCATTGATTTATTGTTCCACTTATTTATGCATTCATTGGTTGATTCTTATATGTGCCCTGACAGGGGATCAAACCCGGAACTTTGGCTTATCATTCAGATGGGAAATGTCTGGCCCATGGGTCATATAAAACCTGAGAAATCATTTGGTATGGCCCTGTCAAGTCATTAGGCATGAGTTAATTAAATGTTTGACCAACTATACCAGGCTAACTTTTTTTTTATTGTTTAAAGTATTACATATGTCTCCTTTTTCCCCGATTGACCCCCCTCCCTGCCACTCCCACCCCCTGGGACAAGCCCCCACTGCCCCAGTGTCCGTGTCCATTGGTTATGCCAGTGATGGCGAACCTATGACATGCGAACTCATTTTTTTGGTTGATTTTTCTTTGTTAAGTGGCATTTAAATATATAAATATCAAAAATATGTCTTTGTTTTACTATGGTTGCAAATATCAAAAAATTTCTATATGTGACACAGCACTAGAGTTAAGTTAGGGTTTTTCAAAATGCTGACATGCCGAGCTCAAGATTCACCATCACTGGGTTATGCTAATATGCATGTATACAAGTCCTTTGCTGTTGCAAATGGTAAGAGTTCCTTCTTTTTTACAGCAACGTATAGCAGGCTAATTTTTAAATATATAAGAGGTTACTTTTGTATGGCCTGCAAATGATGTTATAAATATCCAAATGGTCCTTGGCAGAAAAAAGGTTCCCCACCCCTGGCTTATCGAGACGATGCTCTAACCTACTGAGTTACCTGACCAGGACCCAGCAAGGTTTGTTTGTTTGAATATGTTTTTATTGATTTTTTAGAAAGAGGAAAGGAGAGTAAGAGAGAGAGATAAAAACATCGATGAGAAACATTGACCAGCTGCCTCCAGTGCACCTATTGGGGATTGAGCCGGCAATCCAGGTGTGTGCCCTGACCTGAAATCGAACCAGAAACCTCTCGGTGCATGGGATGACGCTCAACCAACTGAGCCACACCAGCTGGACCAACAAGATTTATTTTAACATACTTTCCAGAGCACCTCTATGCAAGACCTCTGGTGCTGGAATATGACAATTTTTGGTGTTGGGCATGATTAACAAAACATTTGATCTTTCAGTATAAAGCAAAATCAAGCTCCATCTCTACCACAAAAGAATAAGTGATTCCATGTATATTTCTGTACATGTGCTCTCTAAGTGGAGAAATAATTCTCCCTAATCATCAACACACATTAAAAGCAAACTTTCACATTGAGGAATGCCAGTAACTACAGCCCGAAAGCCCTGCTGCTTAACTCACTTAATCTGCTTAAACACATTTAGAAATGGTCAGGTTAGATTTTACTGCTCCTTTGCCTTGTCATGAACAACTAAAGTAATGAAAATTTAAACAGATGATATGAATAGTACCTTTCAGAGGTTGTACTGCCACTTTCAGTCAAAGATATATGTATGCAGAATAAAGCTGTTCTAAAATGAAACCAAGAAAAAATTTAATTCAGGAAGAACGTGGGTTTCTGTTTAGTTCTCTTTGCTAAAGAAAGGTAAAGATCAAAAAATAATACAAAACTCCAGCCCTAGCCGATTTGGCTCAGTGGATAGAGCATCTGCCTGTGGACTGAAGGGTCCCAGGTTCGATTCCGGTCAAAGGCTCATGATCCCCAGTGGGGGCCGTGCAGGAGGCAGCCAAACAATGATTCTCTCTCATTATTGATGTTTCTACCTGTCTTTCCTTCCCACTTCCTCTCTGAAATCAATAAAAATATATTTTAAAAAGAAATAATAATAATAATAATGGTAATAATACAAAATTCCATCACTGGGAACTGTGTGCTCCATCAATTTTGAGACATGGTCTATTATTTTCTTTGGTTTCACTGCCTGAATCTTTTGAATCCAAAGAGAGGGCAAGTGAACAAGATGGCTGGTGACCTAGAAGGAATTGTGCACTCTGAGCACTGTGATACCATATTACTGCCCTCTTTTCCACATGCATAAAAAATAATTAGCTGTGATTCCATTGGTGCGTCTCTGGGCAATTTCTGTTGTGCATAAATCTGTAATAACTGTACTGGGATAATATAAATATTTCCCATTTTTTAGTTTATAAGATGTAGGCCGAGTGACCTAGACAGCAGAAAGGAGAACCAAGAGTCTAAAAGAAAGGAGATTATTTTCCTTCTAATTTTTCATATATAACTCATTCCTAATCATGGTTGCTCTAATCCAATTGACTCTAATGCTTTTCTCCACATGGAACTAAAGTGGTTACTTCAGGGAAGAATTTAATCCAGCTCCTCTTGCCTGGCAAAGGTTTCTCTTTTTTTTATCAAAGGGTGGCTGACTTCAATGCAGACATTTACAGTATCTCAAGAGCTTTTTTTCCTTAAAAAAGTAAATTAAAGAGACCACCTTTATCAGATTCCCCCATTGGAGGTTTTGGGATCAAGTTCCTGCAGAACAGTAACTTTGAAATCTAAGGTCACAGACCCTCTAAGAATGTGATTAAAGCACATTCATAGAAAAATGTACAAGCTACAAAATTCCACAAGACAGTCTACGAAGCCAGGTTAAGAACTTTTAGCCTATAGAGAGATAGACTATGGAAAGGCTCAAGATTAGTCTTGAGCATCCTTGAAGTCTAACAGGAACTCTCCTCTGTTTCTTAACCAGGAAGCAGGAAAATGATAGTATTAATGTGGGCTCATTCCTGAGAATGTGGGGTTCCACTCATGGGCAACTTTGGTTTGAGGGCTTCTCTTTGGCCTGGGGAAACTGTCGTCTAAAACCCTACCTGTCCAATCTTTCCTTCTTCTCTGCTTTCAGAGATGTCAGACCTGCCCTGTGGTCTGAAGACTCTACCAGCCCTCAGAGTATCCCTGCTGTCTTCTTCTTTTTTTATATATATATGTTTTATTGTTTTTTTACAGAGAGGAAGGGAGAGGGATAGAGAGTTAGAAACATCAATGAGAGAGAAACATCAATCAGCTGCCTCCTGCACACTCCCTACTGGGGATGTGCCCCCAACCAAGGTACATGCCCTTGACCGGAATCGAACCTGGGACCCTTGAGTTCGCAGGCCAACGCTCTATCCACTGAGCCAAACCGGTTAGGGCTCTTCTCTCTTTCTTTATACTTCCCAGGCATTTTCCCTAACAAAACTCATACTTCTAATACCGTCCTGGGGTCTGCTTCTAAAACTACACATGTGCAGTTGCTACAGTTTCACACCTTTACACAGGGCCCCAAAGAAGTAGCCGAAGTCTTCCAGTTCTTATTCCAGTACCACCAACACAGAATCTATGCCCCTTAAAACAATGACTTTTTAGACATGCCCATAGGATGAAGGCCATGGAAGCCAACAGGCCAATGATGTTTCACAGACAACATGGGTAGTTTGAGATTTCTGCCTTCAGGTGTGAAACAAGACCCAATAAGGCAGCGGTTCTCAACCTGTGGGTCGCGACCCCTTTGGCGGTAGAACGACCTTTCACAGGGGTCGCCTAAGACCATCCTGCATATCAGATATTTACATTACAATTCATAACAGTAGCAACATTACAGTTATGAAGTAGCAACAAAAATAATTTTATGGTTGGGTCACAACATGAGGAACTGTATTTAAAGGGCCAGAAGGTTGAGAACCACTGCAGTAAGGGTACATGCCAATGGTATAAGAGAAATTGGCATGGAAGGCTAAATCAGTAAGGTAAAATGTGTAACAGGACGTACCTTTGTTGGGCCTGAAAACATGACCCTGACTTCATGCTAAAATAGCTTTCACAACACTAAACATGGAGCTGTACATTCATAACCAGGCTCTGAAAAGTGATAACACTATTCAACAGCAAGAAGATAGAGTTAGGTCAAGTTAAAACACTTAAAGTCAGTTGTTAAGTGTGCCAGTAGGAGCTATTAAGTGTGCAAATAAATGTTCTATTATTTGAGTACCACAATGGCCCAATCCCAGCATCACGGGAGGCTTTCAGTTGAAGGAATAGGTTAAGATTCTGAGGTAAATACAAGGGATTGTGTTAGATTCAGCCATGCTGTATCACTTTTTCTAAATCATTTCTGTTCCACTGTTAAGGCTTAGGGCATGCAGTATTAAATGACTGTCTCAACCTACCCTTTTCTCCTGTGATAAAACATTATTATAAAATAGTACAGAGGAGAAATCTTTTAAATTAGAGTTTCTCTGAAAGTCTCAAAGAACAAAATAATCAAATGCTTTGCAAGCTTTTCCACCCTTTATTCTTAGTTTGTGGTATTAAGCTCTTAGTGACAAAGAAGCCAAACCCACATATTTAGTTTACCAACACACTGAAAGCAAATCGTAGTCGTACTTCTATTTTAACCAAGCATGACAACAAGGTGATTGAGTAGCTTCCCAAACTACCAGAGCAGCGGGCAACAACTTGCATAAGCTGGCGTTAGATCAGCACTTCATAAATCCTGCAGGCTCCTGACCATTTACATGATCTTTCTATGCAGAATCGGCAGTCTGACACTGGTTCTCACAGGCAATAAAACCATCTCTCTGCTAACCCAACTCACTGTTCAGACGGGTCTTCTTGAATGCAGTCTTTATTACAACCCCACTGCTGCTCCTACACTGAAGAAATAGCATGTTTTTAAGTCAGGAGTTCTTCTTTCTTGCTTTATTGTAATTGGGGGTCTTACAACGAACCGATACTGTTACAAAGCATCGTGCTTTATAACAGTAAAGCTTCTGGAAAACCCAAACAAAAGACACGTCACCCGGTGACGTCAGCCTATATACAGTTCTGTGTGGTCGCAGCACATAAGCAAATCCATTCTTGTGCCGTTTCTCGGAAAAGCTTTTCAGTAAATGCACTCATGCTGCTCCAGGAGCTCTTCTCTGCAACAAGCCGCCCATCTGCCATCAACAAGTTAAGACGGAGAGAACTAACAGCTGCGGAAAGGAAAGACTGATGCTTTGATTAACCAGCTGAGCAGTTAGAGGAGGACGAAATTAATAACTTATATTCAGAAGCGATTTAAGGAAACAGAGTGGTCACGAAAAATGAAACCAACGCTATTGAGAAGAATATCCTAAGGAAAGAAACAACTCACCCTGCTGGATTAAATTTTACTCAGAAAGCCTGGGGCATAGAAAACAGGAAACTGGTCAAAGGCTCCTGCATGTTAGAGCCTTTTACAGACTCACTGCGTTGAGTCTAACAACCGCGACTGAATGCAGCCTCCAATGTGCTCAGAAGAATGGGTAAGTCCATGCATTTATATGCCTTGTACAGTCAGCAACAAATCACGCTTTTTAAAATAAACCACTGAATTCCCATTTTATGAGGGGAATCACTGTCACATTTTTGGATCCTGAGGTGTTAGTAAAAGCATATATTGATGATAACAGGCTATGTTTTATCTTCTTAATGGTTTAAGTTTTGTTCCAGTCATACTAACAAGGTTAATTTTTCTGCAGCAAATGAAAACTAAATTATATGCAGTGAAATATTTCACGATATTGTTATGTTCATTTCTTAATAGCTCATACGTTCTGCTAAAATATATCCTATCTTCTTGTTTTCCTTAAATTATATTCTGCAGGCTTACATTTCAAGTGGCCATTAGGGGCCCCTATGCTGGCAGCAATATATGCAATGAGTATGGTTTTAAAAATGCTGCCTGCCTTGGGAATGGCGTGTCCACCTAAATGCCGCTGCGAGAAGCAGCTCTTCTACTGCGACTCTCAGGGCTTCCACTCCGTGCCAAACGCCACAGACAAGGGCTCTCTGGGCCTTTCCCTGAGGCACAATCACATCTCAGAGCTTGAAAGGGATCAATTTGCCAGCTTCAGTCAACTTACCTGGCTCCACTTAGACCACAATCAAATTTCAACAGTAAAAGAAGATGCTTTTCAAGGACTATATAAACTTAAGGAATTAATCTTAAGCTCCAACAAAATATTTTACTTGCCAAATACAACTTTTACCCAACTGATTAATCTGCAAAATTTGGACCTGTCTTTCAATCAGCTGTCATCTCTGCACCCAGAGCTCTTCTATGGCCTTCGGAAGCTGCAGACCTTGCATTTACGGTCCAACTCCCTGCGGACTATCCCAGTACGCTTGTTCTGGGACTGTCGTAGTCTGGAGTTTCTAGATTTGAGCACAAACCGATTGAGAAGTTTGGCTCGAAATGGATTTGCGGGATTAATCAAACTGAGAGAGCTTCACCTAGAGCACAACCAGCTGACGAAGATTAATTTTGCTCATTTCCTACGTCTAAGTAGTCTGCACACGCTCTTCTTACAATGGAACAAAATCAGCAACTTGACATGTGGGATGGAATGGACCTGGGGCACTTTAGAAAAACTAGACCTGACTGGAAATGAAATCAAAGCCATCGATCTGACAGTGTTTGAAATAATGCCTAATCTTAAAATACTCCTAATGGATAACAACAAGTTAAACAGCCTGGATTCCAAGATCTTAAATTCCCTGAGATCCCTCACAACTGTTGGCCTCTCTGGCAATCTGTGGGAATGCAGCCCTAGAATATGTGCTTTGGCCTCCTGGCTGGGCAGTTTCCAAGGTCGGTGGGAGCATTCCATCTTATGCCACAGTCCTGACCACACCCAAGGAGAGGATATACTAGATGCAGTCCATGGATTTCAGCTCTGCTGGAATTTATCAACCACTGTCATCACAGCCATGGCTACAACTTATAGAGATCCAACCACTGAATATACAAAAAGAATAAGCTCATCAAGTTACTATGTGGGAGACAAAGAAATCCCAACTACTGCAGGCACAGCAGTTACTACTGAGGAACACTTTCCCGAACCAGACAATGCCATCTTCACTCAGCGGGTAATTACAGGAACAATGGCTTTATTGTTTTCTTTCTTTTTTATTATTTTTATAGTGTTCATCTCCAGGAAGTGCTGCCCTCCCACTTTAAGAAGAATTAGACAGTGCTCAATGATTCAGAACCACAGGCAGCTCCGATCCCAAACACGACTCCATATGTCAAACATGTCAGACCAAGGACCGTATAATGAATATGAACCCACCCATGAAGGACCCTTCATCATCATTAATGGTTATGGACAGTGCAAGTGTCAGCAACTGCCATACAAAGAATGTGAAGTATAGTATCTACTTATCATCAAAAATTACATCAGATAAGTAACCTATTTTACATAGTAGGGGCTAAATATCTAATTTTTAACAATGGTGACATTAAGCCTAATTTTCAAAACCAAGTGGAGACTTAAGTTTTTGAAGTGAAGTGTTTTTAATTTTTTTTTATGAAACCATATTTTAAGTGTTAAATGAAGCAATGCTCACATTAATTTGCAATCTTGTTGGAAAGTCTATGCTTACTTCAAATTAAGGCATTTCATGTATGTGATTATATACTATTGAGTGTAAACATATGCTATTTTTTTTCCTACTGAAAACAGTTTGGAAAGAAGGTACTGAGCAGAAAAAGATATGAATCAATACTTGTTTGATCATTGCTTTCCATCCCAAGTACCACCATTGGCTTGTTGCTTAAAAGGAGACTTAGCAAAGTTCTCTTGTATGATAATTTGGTATTTACTTAAATTTACAATTTACTGCCAGTGGGGGAAGAAGAATTTCATTATGCTATAAAGACTGGTAAATATTAAACACTCTTATTCCAGAGTTTTTGCCTGGGTTAATAGATATTATCAAAGTCCACATCATGAAATTAGAACCCTTTATGTAATTCTAATAAGCTGAGTAACTCTTTAATATATTTAAACAATGAATCCAAGTGAATGTGGAAAAGGTCTCATTACAATGAATTCAACACTAAATGATTACAATGACTTTGTATCATACAGCTATAGTTTAACTTATAATGAACATGTTGACCTTTTGTGGCATTTTTAGACAATTATTTTAAACTAGTATTACATTATCATTTTACTTATTAGTTTACTAAATCTTATATTTACATTTATATGTGAAAAAAGATTTAGAAATTATTTTGGAGAGAAAAGAGAGAAACTGAGTCAACTTAATCCTAGGACTTGCTCCCTTTAGTTTGAAAGCACACACAACATTCTCTCCCTTTCTCAACTGTCATGATCAAAGTTGTCTTACAAAGAGGTTTAAACTCTTTCTTCTGTTTTCTTCCTAATGCTCACACCTCAGATCCAAATAAAAAATAATTAGCAACAGGCATAACAATGATTCTTAATAGAATATATAATATAAAGGAACATTAAAAATCACTTTCTAAATATTATATTCTGAAATCTGGCCTTTTAATAAGGATACATAGTCACGCTATAAGAGCAGTTCCTTCCAAGTGAAAGAAACAACAGATTACAGAGCAAACCTTTTTATGGTAAAACACCAACTACATGCTTATACTGCCATGCAATGGTAACTCAAAGGTGGCATGGAGGGGAGGGAGATGAAAGGGAAAGGCAGCGTTTTGAAATCTGACTCACAGAAATGGGTTAGCTGAAGTTAAGAGGCAGCCAAGAGTGAGGCAAATGGGTAGCTGTACACTATCTACAGGCCCCATGACCTACAGCTGAAATGAGGAGGAGGAGGTCCCCTAGTGTTAATATAAACACCACAATTAACAAATGATAATGATGCCACACTTTTCATGTGAAAAAGAACCACATGTATTGCGTTTCTTCAATTATGATTTCTATGGAGAAACTGTAACATATTTAAGATTCAGATGCAAGTTATCAATTCACACAGAATTTTTCCATAAACAAAGTTCTATGTATGCTGCAGCAAAACCCAAGACATTAGACTACTGACTTGATTCTAGAAGAATGAACATTTTTATAACTGACATTTACAACTGTATGTGAAAAAGGCGAAAATCCCTAGAGAAAACCACTACCATAAAAGAAGAAAGTTACCTTTTCCTTAATACGACCATTAAAACATGATATTTTTCATTCAAGGCATATTTTTTCTTCCCTGGACTAAACTGAAAACATGTTAAGACTACATTTTAACCTATGAGGTTTAATTGTAATTTTTTTTTCTTTTTAATACTAAAGAGAGGGGGGTCTGTTTATATTTCAAAAACACAAAAACATGTCTCAGTAAAATGCTGACAAGATCACATACTATGGAAAAAATGTATTCTCTGAATTTCTTAAGGTGGGTAAATTAGTTTGGCAAAGTCTCTGTCTGTAAAGTTTAGGTGATCTTGAGCAGTGAGCATTTCACTTCTTGTTAAACCAGATCTTAGGCCTGCCTGGAGAGAGACAAAAGCTGATTTAATGGCACAGAGGACAGCTCACCACTTCCCTTCAGGGCTGGATCTGAAACCCCCATTACAAATGAGAGCTCCACAGGTAAAATTTACCAACTCATTTATCAGGCAAACGATGGCCATTTGTCAGAGAAAAGCGTTGTCACAATATTCTGTCCTGAACACATAAGTTTCCATTAGCCCTAAAGAATAGCAAAAAAATATTTTCTATCATTTCCACCACACCAAATTAATTGAAATTGTGAGTAGAAGGGTGAGAAATACTGGCTAGGAATCCCCACATTAATCCTAAAGATTACAGTTAGTAAAATGGACCATTAATCAGCAAAATTCTTAATATATTTAGAAAAGTAAATTGGAAAAGCAAGCCATTTAGTAATTCAGGGAACAGCAGAACCAAGGCCACCCCGGCATACTTTCAAGATGAAAAATAACTGATTTTTTGCCCTGCATATTTTCTTCTTCTTCTTCTTCTTCTTTTGGTAATGCTCTCTGAGAAAAGTGAGTAAAAATGCCAAGCAGCATGTCCCCTCTTCATTAAAGCACAAACTTCCCTTTTGAATTGCCTATTGAAGGCAGTATTCCATTTAATTTCGGTCTTTTTGTGTTTCAGTATCAGCACAGATTTGAAGATGAGACTGTTAGTTATATGTGCTCTCTTTACCAACTGTCTAGAGTGGAAGAGCATCGCAGCTACACTGCAGATCCTGCTAACCCAATGTTAGGGCTTTTGTTTTTTGGTTTAGTTTTATCCTCCTCAGCCTCCTCTTCCCACCAACCCCGTTTTTCCCTCCCCCATTTTCAAGATTAGAGGAAAATGACCACTTATCAAGAACTAGAAAAATAATTAAATCTCTGGAAAAAGAAATGCTAAAGAAGGTTATATACTGTACCCACCTAGTAATCAAGAGCTAGTTTGGAATAATTTATATTCATTTCTGTAGTTTGCCAGGGATTTCAATCACCTTTACAAAATGAGAGTGGGCTGACAAATCTGCAAATTCACACGCAATTCAGAGAGAATACCCACTGCCAACATCAAATAGCAAAGATACTAATTTTTAAGCCAAAAATCTGTACTAACACATGTAATTTCTTAATGTGCCTAAGTTAATTTCTGTACCAATTTAATGAATGGAACTGACTAAACTTCCCGACTCCACTAATTATTAAAATCCATCTGCTTATTCTGATGCTAGTCACCAAGAGCGAGATTCCATCTTTCCAATAAAAATGAGCCCCATGTAACACCAGGTCTGAATCCTAAAATTGAAAAAAGGCATTTCATTTTCTATACTTCCTACACAGAGTCGGGGAGGGGAGAGGGCTATAAATGCTGTTCTCCCTCTAAAGTGTAGTTATCAAAATAAAATTTGAAAGAATAATTTTAGAAGCTGACTTATATGACCATTTTCCTAATAGAGCAATACAGTGACAGACTTGTCTCAAAAATCTGTTTTGAGACATGCTTTTCATATCTTATTGGTTAAAGTGCTTCAACTAGAAAAAGACAAGGGTGATAAGGCCAATAATTTAAAGGAAAAAAACAAACAAACAACAGAAAATGACGGTTTAAGCTTTCATACAATTATTGCAAACATTTGGAAACATCTGCTTCCTTCAACTAACCTATCCTTCCTTGGTAATTTTTTAAAGTTTCATCTATGGAATGTTTTTGAACCTTTCTATCAACACAGATTGGAAACCAAAAGTACAATCCAAACACATTGTGTTTAATCACC